TGTGCCTTGGTTTCCTCATCTATAAAACGAGGATTGAAAACTCAATCAGTCTTATCAGAGGTGGTGGTGGTAGTTTTTCTCTGAGACACTCTTCTTGTCCCTCGCCTCTGTTGGATCAGTGATTTTGAAACAAGACATTTGTGTGGAAAACTAAACGTTGGTCTGTTTATTCATTTAGCAAATACTTGAACTCCTCTTAAATGCCAGGCACTTGTGATTTTTATAATTTGGCGCATTTATGAATGAACAACTCTTGAGTATGTAAATCATAATGGTTATGAATCTAAGGCAAAATCAAATTATTCCTGTGTATTCTACAGAAGAGAAGGTCTAATTATAATCTTAATGTCCTATTGTTCTGGTTCCCTAGTGCCACTCTGATAGGAATATACCACAAATGGGATGGCCTTAACAAACAGGAGTTTATTGTCTTATAGTTTAGAGGCTTTAAGTCCAAGTTCAAAGTGCCAGGCTCTAGGGGCTGGGTGAAAGCCCCTCAGCCTTGGGCTTCAGCTCTGCCTCTTGCTCCCAGCCCACAGGAGCTAGAGGCATCTCTTCACTCAGACAGCTGCTGGCTGCTGAGGCCGACAAGCCAAAGGATGACAAATAAAATGGCACAGTCCCAATGTTACCAAACCACACAGCAGGCCATTAATTCAAGTCCATTGTAAGTCCCAAGGTCAGCAGAACATGGCAGGCTGCTGAACAACGACACAGCTACATGCAGGGTCCAAGCATACCATAAGCTAGAGACCATTCCTCAAGGCTGCTGCTTAAATATGGGAAGCAGACCACATTCCCTTAGGCAGCTACTCAGCTGCTTGTGGTGGATCCCACCATGGAGTTGATTGCCAGTCTCATCATGGGGAATAACTACCACCAGCTGCCCAGCCACTCAACCAGACCCAGCCAAGTTGACACACAAACATAACCACCACACCTATTAATCCTAAAAGGCATATGAATAGATAAATTCATAGGTATCTAATGAGAAACTGTATCATCTCATGTTTATTTCAGTAATAAAATTATCCATGCCATGAGGTTTTTTTTCTGTCTTTGAAAATATGTGCCTATCTTTTGATTTAAGCCCTCACAACTGTCTACTTTTTTTTTTTGAGAACAGTGTCTTTCAACTCTGGATGCACATTAGAATCTGCTAGAATGACCCTCTACTTTAAAATATTATGTCCCAACTCCATCTCAAATTGAGTAAATCAGAATCTCTGAGACTTGGACAGGTTTATTTGTGAAATGTCTCCACGGGTTTCTAGTGTGCCCCCAGGATGGGAAGCCACACCCCTAGAACATGTAACTCCTTTTGTATTTTATAACTGGGATTGTATTTAGCCAGAATATTTCTTAAAGAATTTACAGGACTCTGGTTAATAGTGAAAGCTTCCCCTTGAGGAACAGAACTAAGGAGAGATTTTATTCCCCTTTGTGCCTTTTGAATGGTTTCCCACATGTGTTTGAATTCATCAAAAACTTGTAATAGTTGATGTGAAACGCCTTCCGCCAAAACCAAAATGTGCAGTGAATTGCCTTTGAAAGACAATTGGTAGAAAAAAAAAAAACCAACACAACTGCGACTCATGAGTTCCATTTGCATAGATGGTTGTTATGAAGCGCCGTCCAGTCAGTTCCAACTCGCAGTGACCCTCCAGACAACAGAACGAAACCCTGCCCGGTCCTGCGCCATTCTCACAATCCTTGCTATGCTTGAGCTCAGTGATGCAGCCACTGTGTCAGTCCATCTTATTGAGGGTCTTCCCCTTTTTCGCTGACCCTCTACTTTGTCCAGCAGTATGTCACTTGATGTCTTGACTGCTGCTCCCATTGGTGTTGATTGTGGCACCTAGTAATATGAAATCTTTGACAACTTCAATCTTTTCTCCATTTCTCGTGATGCTGCTTATTCATCCAGTTGTGAGGATTTTGGTTTCTTTTATATGTTGAGGTATAATCCATACTGAAGACTGTAGTCTTTGATCTTCATCAGTAAGTGCTTCAAGTCCTCTTTACTTTCAGCAAGGAAGGTTGCGTCATCTGCATATTGCAGGCTGTTAATGGTTCTTCCTCTGATCCTGATGCCATGGTCTTCTTTATATAGTCCAGCTTTTCAGATTATGTGATCAGCTTACAGATTGAAAAAGTATGGGTGAAAGGATACAGCCCTGACACACACCTTCCCTAATTTTAAACCATGTGGTGTCCCCTTGTTCTGTTTGAACAGCAGTGTAGGGAAGTTGAGCCATATTGCATTGAAGGTTTTCCAGCCGCATGATTCCTCATTTATGATGTATGCCTAACATTTCCTTGAGTCCTAAGGCTGTGCATTCTCCCTCTTTGAGGAGGAAAGGATGGGAGGTATCCTAAATAGTTTCAGAAAGTCAGTTGACAGGTACTTGTGGAAAGGGGAGTAAAATGTCAGGCTCTCCAAACCCATCCCTGAGAGTCATTTCCAGTCAACATTGACAGAGGTCACTTTAGTGTGTGAACATTTCTTACTGTTTTCATAGGCAGGTGCAATTTCAGCATTAAAACTATCTAAAGAAAGTATGAGAGTGACTTGGGTATTTTCATTGTTGAAGAGAAAATTCTGTGAGGTTAGCAGCTCCGAAATCCTGCAACATCTCTTCAGGCCAACGTACTGCTCCCCTTTTACAGACCCTCAGTGACTTGCTGCAGATCATGCAGCTGTTCTTACCCATTGCTAAGATGTGTCAGATCATCAGAGAAACTTCCATAATCTAAGCATTTCTTTGCTTGTTTGTTTTTGTAATTAGAACAGAGTTCAATTCTATCTTTCTTTTTCTTTCTCTTAAATGACCATAATCCTTAATGAAAGGTAAACTTTAATTTGTTTGAGTATTTATACATTATTACTTTCAGAAAGGATTAAAGAAGGCTTGCAATCTACTGAACTAAGTTAAATACAAGAGACAACTGAAAACAAGGAGAGGAGGAGAAAGTGGGTTACCGTGAATGCATTGGACTCTGGTTTTTAATGCTGTTCATTAAAATAGATAGTACAGATAGTAAGCTCGGTAGTTTTTACCCAAAAGGAAGGATGATTGGTATCTATGGAAAGACAAACATTTTCCTGGCACAAGATCATCATTGTTTCTCCCATGAAGTATAAAGACACTGAGTAGGAATGTGGACAACTTTGATGGATGTTTTATAACAGTTGCATACATAATTTTCATGAAGACTGTTTCTTAGAGACCTTCAGTAAATGATTGAAACTTATTTAACATGGAACTTGGTAATTCTCCAAGGGACAGAAGTAAGGCCAACAAACAGGCTTCATCCTGAGTATTCTCTCTAGTCAGTAGTGATCTGGAGTGTTTCCTCAAGAAAAGACAAAGAGGAGCCATTGATGAGCTGTACCTGTGGGGCATTTGGACATTCACACCACTGATTGATCATCCTCTGGCTAAGGTCATGTCCGACTCTGGTTTTTGGGCAGTCTGACCTGAATCAGGTATCTGAATAATGGGTAAATAGCATATCCTAAACCAGTGGTGCCCATACATGGATGACCTTAGGACCAGAGAGGAGTTATTTTAAAAATAAGGGTTTCCAGGTCCTACCCCTTGAGGTCTGATCAGTAGGTCTGGGGTGGGACCTGAGAAATGTTACTTCTTCCTGGGTAATTCTGATAACCACACAGGTTTGGTACTATTGTTTTTAAACTGCCCTCCTAAATAAAACTTCTTATAGCTAACTTTCCATGAGGAACTGTAGACCTGGCCTTTCCAATAGGCTTTGATCAAATGGACTGTCTCTGGGCCCAGTGGGGTTTTCCCTAGACAGGGACTTTGGCTGTGTTCCCAAACTGATAAGTGTGCATTTGACACCCTGGGAACTAGGGCCAAGTTCATTCAGATATAATAATCCCAGGGGCAGAGTTTGAACCTCATTAAATTGTTTCCTTGTTTAATTCTGTGTGTGCTTCATACTAGTAAAATTATTCACTGCTAACACTGCCAGTCGGGGTAACTCTTTGTTCTTTCTTCTGTGGATAGCTTCGTATGGAAAGATAGGTCTTATAACAAGGTCTCTAATTGAATAATCTAGAAGGTCATTGGAGAAGAGAACATTTCCACTAAGGAATATTGACTAAACATTTCTGCACCAGGCCTGGTGTGTGTGCTATTTGCAGGATGTCAGTCGGTGCCTAGATGTGTACTCCGGACATGGAGCGTGCATACTAGTTCAGCATTTAGTCATTTGGGGGCTCTTGTTTTTCCCAACACTTGCCCTATGTTTCTTCAACTTTGTTTCTTCCAGAATTCTGTGGATTATTTTTTCTAAAAATTTTGTCCTACCATTTTTTTTAGAACAAGAATCCTAATCAGGAAATTTTTTATTAATTGTAACCTTGAACTAATTTTTTTTCTCATTTGTTTTTTCAATATTTTTATTGTGTGTGTGTGTGTGCTTTAAATTTTTTTGGTTATGGGTGAAAGTTTACAGAGAAAATTCATTTTTCATACAGCAGTTCAGTATTTTATTGTGTTTTCAGTGAAAGTTTACACAGCAAATGAAGTTCCCATTTAACAATTACTGTACAAATGGTTCAGTAACATTGTTTATATTTTCCCTAATGTGTCAACTTTCTCTTTATTTCTATTCTAATTGTTCCATTTCTAATAATCTAGCTTCCCTGAACCCCCTTCTCGTCTTTGCTTTGTAGTAACTGTTGACTTTTTGATCTCATATAGATGATTTTTAAAAGCTTAGTATTCATAGATGATATCCTTTATTTTATGAGCCAGTCTGTTATTTAGTGGAAAGGTGACGTCTGGGAGTAGTTTTGGTTCAAAGTTTAAAGAATATCTTAGGGCAGTAGTCTTGGGATCCTCTAGTCTCAATCAGTCCAGTAAGTCTGGACTTTCTACAAATGTGAGTTCTGGTCTGCATTTTTCTCCCATTCTACCAGGATCCGTCTGTTGTGGTCCTGAGCCACAGTCACCATCTGGTAGCCAGGCACCATCTAGTTCTGTCTTTGGGTAGATGAGGCTGTAGTTCTTGTAGGCTATTACTCCTATAAAGTAGATTCTTCTTGGAGTGTTTGGTTTCTTTCTTTTTGTTTTGCTCCAGATGAGTAGAGAGCAACACTTGTATCTTAGATGCCACTCCCAAGCTTTTAAGAACCCAGACACTACTCACCAAATTAGGATGTAGAACATAGTTTTTATGAACTATGTTATGCTAGTTGACAGAGTTGTCCCACAGACGATGGTCCTAAGCCTTCAAGCTCAGGAAACCACTCCATGAGGTATGTGGTTATGTCTAAGAAGTATCCGTAACTGTGCCCCTATGTGCTTTATTATATATAAAACCCACTGCCGTCGAGTCAGATCCAACTCATAGTGACCCCTCCTTGGGTTTCCGAGGTGGTGTAACTACGGAAATAGATTGCCCAATGTTTCTTCCAAGGAGTTATTATAGATATGAATATATATATGCATGTTCAGACGTACATGTGTGTACTTGTACATACAGACACATATACATGGACACATATACACACATGTACCTACCTATATACATATGTGCTTACATACCTACTTCTGTAACTACACATACAGTTTTTGGTTGTTGTTGCTCTCACTTTAAGAGAAGGAAGTAAATGAGAAAATAAGCTCATATAAAGGACTTTTAATTACTCAGGTTCAGCCTGGTCAGTTCAGCTTTGGCCCAATTTAAACTATGAAAGAAAATTGTTCTTCACAATGATTAGCCCCATTCATTACTGAAAAATGAAATGGATGTTGATTATACTACATAATAAGGAGCTCTGGTGGTGCAGTGCCTAAGGCATTTGACTGCTAACCAGAAGGTTGGTGGTTTAAACCCACCAGCCGCTCTGTGGAAGGAAGATGGGACAATCCACTTTTGTAAAGGTTTACAGACTCAGAAACCCAGTGGGGGCTGGTGTGAGTCAGAATCGACTCAATGGCAGTACGTTTGGTGTTTTATATATACCACATGATGAATAAGCACTAGCCAGTAACCTCGGATCTCTTGGATCTATCTGTTAACAGTCACGTGACTTTGGGCAAATGCGCTTCTCTAGACCATAGCATCCTGATTTATAAAGTGTGCAAAATACTGGCCCTGACAATCCCAAAAGGTGGTGAGGATCAGAGGAAAAAATGTAAAAAAATTCCATGAAAACTAGAATATGCTGTGTGTGTGTGTGTGTGTGTAGTTGTTGTTGTTACGTACCATTGAGTTGGACCCGACTCATAGCGACCCTCCTTGGGTTTCTGAGGCGGTATCACTCCAGAAGTAGATTGCCCAACCTTCCTTTTGAGGAGTGGCTGGTAGGTTTGAACTGTCAGCCTTCTGGTTAGTGGTCAAATGCCTTAGGCATTATGCTACCAGGGCTCCCATATATGTGTGTGTGTGTGTGTGTGTGTGTGTGAATTAAAATATTCCATTAACTAAGCAGCAAAAAAATAAAATTTAAAGAAAAAATCTTTTAAAAAAATTCCATTAACTGGAAATTCCTCAATAACCTTATTCACATTTGAGTTAATTAAATATTGTAGGTAAGTATGATCATACTATCCTCATCTTCCCACTAAGACTTGCCATTGTATCTCTGTGCCTGTCACCACAGCCTGCCAGGCCAACAAACCTTTTTCCCTATTTTTCAACTGGTATAAGCCTTCCTGAGCTCCATTAAAAGGCAGTGGAATGACATGTGAACTTGGAAATAATTTCCAACTTCATATTTTAATGAGGGCTGATATATTGGTCAGTCTTAAAACCGTTTTCTCAAGTATTGAAATTTGATGTCTAAATGTGGTTTATTTTTCTTACAATTATGGTAAAACAGGTAAATTACTTGAGTCTTTATCTCAGAGTTCCAGGAAAGCATTTCAGGTTTAATTCTTAACTATTTACTGAACTTCAGGTTCTTTTTTCTCTCATTAATATGCAGGTGTTCACGTAAACATAATTTCCCAACATCGAGTCCCACCCTTCTTATAAAAAGCATGTTTACAACATTTGGGATGGAGCAGTGCAGAATGGATGACTACGACCCCGACGCAAGTCTGGAGTATAGCGAAGAGGAAACATACCAGCAGTTCCTCGAGTTCTATGACGATGTGCTCCCTGAGTTCAAGAACGTGGGGAAAGTGGTTCAGTTCAAGGTGGGCATGTGTGAGCAGAGGGGAGTGGTTCACTTGACACAGAAGTGTTCAGTGGGATAAGACAGCTAGCACACATGATATATACTTGGACGGAACACATAGTGGCCTGGCTCTGGCACACAGGCACTCAGTAAACATCACTTCCTGTTCTCCCTTTCCACCTACCTTGTTCCCATGATACTAGCTGAACTCATAAACATGTACTCCTCTGATATTGACTGAATCCTAGGGTCTAGACTAGAAAGGCTCTTTCATTTATTCATTCCTCAGTGATCCAACTCTCTTTCAGTGTATGACTTCTCAGTCTGAGGTTCTCTCAGCTAGTGGCCAAGCCTTCACTTAGACACTGTGGATGGTGGGGTGCACACCACCCCTTCCTCTGCAGTCAGTCTTGGCTAGAGCTGCAGGGTAACCCAGTTCCACTTACTAAGGTTGTTGATCAGGATGTCGAGGGGTCCTACTTGCAACTTCCACCCACTGGTGCGTGATCTTTCTGCTGCAGTACAAAGATGATTTATCTGTTTTTTCTTTTCTATTCTTTTTTCACACTGTTTTTATTTACTGGATTCTTTCAGTACTGAACATAATGTCCCCAAACTCATGGTTTGTGCTGCAGCACAGCAGGTGAAGGAAATCATACATCATTATTTCAAAATATTCTTTAAGACAAGGGTAAAGTCAGATGTAATACCTGCTGCTTCCACAGCCCATCAGTTGTCATACCATACCTATTGTCATGGATTGATTCCAACTCATAGTGACCCTATAGCACAGAGTAGAACTGCCCCATAGGGTTTCCAAAGCTTTATGGAAGCAGACTGCCACATCTTTCTCTTGCAGAGCAGTTGGTGGGTTTGAACTGCCAACCTTTTGGTTAGCAGCTTGGTGCTCAACCATGTGCCACCAGAGCTCTTAACATAATGAAGCCTTAATTGTGATTTGCTCAGATAGATCTTAACCTGAATGATTTTGTTACAGTGTCACATAATTTGGAAAAATACAGGATGAAAGCTGTGGATTTTTTCCTGCTAATTGGGAAATGACAAAAGTGAGTTGGAACAGATAACAAAGCAACTGCTCAGCTATTACACGAATGGAATTACTCATTTCAAACTGGGTTTTGAAATTCTTTTCAGATTTTCTTTCCCCCTTACCTTCTGTTACTATTGTGTATGCCTCACTGTCTTCATACTCCTGCTCTGTACATCTGATACCTACCAGGGCTGTTTTATTTTTCCCCTTTACAGATGAGGAAAAGGCATGAAAAGGGCACGTGATGTGTTAAGAGCACAGGGTTAGTCCATCCACATAACAACCGTATAGAATAGAGTCAGAAGCAGACGGCCTCATCTTTCCGGATGGTAGGTTCGAACCACCAACCTTGTGGTTACCAGCCAGACCTTTCTGTAAAGGGCAAGGGGGCCGTTGCGTCAGTGGTTTCCCTCTCTTGGCATCTCCAGATTGGACTGCTGCTTTGAAGTGCTAGTAGTGGGTCTGCCCACAAAACTTCAGGCTGCTTAATGGAAATCTGATGTTTCCTGTGACAAGCTGGCCCCGCTGACCATGACGAAATTTTTTTCTTGTTTAGAATTAAGTCAGTTCTGTTTTGCTAATGGCCAAGCTCATGCTAATTAGATGGGACAATTATAAGTGAAAAGTATTCAGTAAATTTTTAGTAGAGATTTCAAAACATCAAACTCATCATGGAAAATAAATAATGAACTGGTCCTTGGGAACCACAGGTCTATGCAATCTCTTGATCTCTCAGGGCCCGCACCTGGCTGGAACTGAGCCCCAAGGCTTTAGACTCTTCCTTCCAAGGACGAGCTTGTGGACTGGCTGGTGGGACTGACCCTGCTGCTTCTGGGTTGCACTGAGAAAAATCTTTGGGGACAAATTGTTTCCATTTGAGACTTATTTTGAAGTTGAAAGCTTAACTTTAGTCTGAACATTTGCAGACCTTTTTATACCATTATATAAATACAAATCAGATTTGTCATTGTTGAAGGCCAATTATCAAATGTTCAGTCTCACTAGTAAGAGGAGCAATGTATATGAAAATGAGATATTCTTTCACACCTATCAGGCAAAAAATCATAGATTCTATTAATACCAAGAGTGGGTGAGAAGGTGTAAATTAGTGAAAGCATTTCAGAGAGCAATTTGTCAATACCTAGTGAAGCTAAGAGTCCAGAACCTACAAATCGACCATAGCCTGGACTTCTGGCTGTGGACAGGAGAGCAGTCCTCATACCAGAGAGATGGTCAAGAATGGTTGGTTGGTTGATGACAGGTTGGAAGCATCTGGGATATCCATCACCAGATACATTTTGATGATTTGATGCATCCAGTATGCAGCAGTGAAAATGAGTCATTACATTTACATGCTAAAATCTTGGAAAAAGAATGTGGAATAAATATGATTTATCAAAGATTTTAAAGCATACAAAGTAACAGTATAGATCGTTTGTCAAGACGTATACACATTGGCTTACATATGTATATTGTAAATGTGCGTCTGCCCACAGAGACCTTAAGGATCCCTGGTGGCGCAGTGGCTAAGCACTCGACTGCTAACCAAAAGGTCAGCAATTTGAACCCACCAGCTACTCCGCAATAGAAAGGTGTGGCAGTCTGCTGCTATAAAGATTTGTTGTTGTCAGGTGCTGGCGCGTCGTCTCTGCCCGTTAGTGAGGCTCTGGACAGCAGAACGAAACACTGCCCTGTCCTTCACCACCCGCATCTCTGTGCTTGAGCCCATCAGTGCAGCCACGGTATCAGTCCATCTCATTGAGGTCTTCCCCTTTCTCACTGCCCCTCTACTTTAGCAGGTGTGATGTCCTTCTCCAGGGAGTAGTCCCTGCTGACCACATGACCAAAGAACTAGAGGCGAGGTCTCGCCATTCTCGCTTCTAAAGAGCATTCCAGCTGCACTTCTTCCAGGACAGATTGTTCGTTCTTTTGGCAGTCCATGGTATTTTCAATATTCTTTGCCAACACCACAACTGAAGGTATCCACTCTTCTTTGGACCTCCTTATTCGTTGTCCAGCTTTCACATGCGTATAAGGTCATTGAAAATACCATGGCTTGGATTAGGCACACTTTAGTCTTCAAAGTGACATCATTGCTCCTTAACACTTTAAAGAGATCTTTTGCAGCAGATTTGCTCTGTGCAATACAACATCTGATTTCTTGACTGCTACTTCCCTGAATATTGATTGTGGATCCAAGTAAGATGAAATCTTTGACAACTTTAGTCTTTTCTCCATTTATCGTGATGTTGCTTATTGGTCCAGTTGTGAGGATTTTTGTTTTCTTTACATTCCTTACTGAAGACTAATCTTTGATCTTCATCAGTAACTGCTTCAAGTCCTCTTCACTTTAAGCAAGCAAGATTGTGTCATTTGTATATCGCAGGTTGTTAATGATTCTTCCTCCAATCCTGATGCCACGTTCTTCTTCATATAGTCCAGCTTCTCAGATTATTTGCTCAGCATCCAGACTGAACAAGTATGGTGGAAGGACACAACCCTGATGCACAGCTTCCCAGTTTTAAACCTTGCAGTGTCCTCTTGTTACCCAAAAATATTACAGCCTAGGAAACCCTATGGGACCCTTCCACCCTGTCCTAGAGGATCACTGTCAGTTGGAATTGACTCAGTGGCACACAGTAAGAACGTATAGACCTACATTTATGTGAATGTACACACATAATATTTTTATGGCACACGTATATGTACATATGCCTGCGTGTGTGTGTGTGTGTGTGTAATGTGAAGGGTATACTCAGGACAGTGCTCACCCCTGTGATGGAGAAGGGAAAAGAGTAAATGGAAGGGTGTCAAATATATCTTTAATGTTTTAATGATTTAAAAGTCAGATAAAAATGGAAAACACTTGTGTTCAATCTGGGTGGCGTGTAAATGAGCTGATTTACATTCTCTAGTTTTTATGCATGTGTGAAACATTTCATACTTAGGGGAAAAATTGGATCTGGATCAACAGAGAGCAGATGTAGGGGCCTACAAGGCTGCCATATGCCTTTAATAGAGTGGAGCATGGCCTCATTTTGGAATCATTAATTGGTCATTATTGGGGGTAATGTTAGTCTGGACAAAGTACGTTTGATGACTGGATGATTTCTTTGCCTTAGTTTTTATGAGAGAATATCTCATTGCCCCTTAGGTCAGCTGCAACTTTGAACCTCATCTTAGGGGCAACGTGTATGTTCAGTATCAATCGTAAGTATTGTGAATATACATGTCTTCATGTTTTATCACAGTATGGTGTTTTTGTTCATGTTCACTGTAACCACTGTAGTAAGAACAGTGGTCCTAGCCCAGGGAGAGCAGGAACTAACAGTGGAATAACACCTCTGCATTTTCAATGGTCCAGTCTTTTGGATTAAGAAGCTTCCGTGCATCCAGGCCACTCGAAGGGCTAGTAAAAAGGCTCCCGGGATACATTTGAACCTCAGGATCCTGAATACGCTCATGAGGACTCCCTAGGTAGTGTGAAAACCATGAGCTTGCCGGGCCTAAATAAATGAACCAAAGAGTTAAGTAGTAACAGGCTAATCTGAATCTTAGAGCATGTCTATGAAATGCATCCTTTCACTTTTGGTTTAAAGGGAAGAAGAATGCCAAGCAGCCTTTTCTCTGTTCAATGGACGGTGGTATGCAGGACGACAGCTGCAGTGCGAATTCTGCCCGGTGACCCGATGGCAAATGGCAATTTGTGGTAAAAATATATCATGCTGGTTTTATTCCCATTGTTTCACTGTCACATAAAGGGACACTTCTAGGGAAAAAAGTCTTTTAAAGGTTTATTTTATTTTATTTTTTTTTAAATCACCAGGTATAGCTTTTGTTTCAGGCAGTAGATGAATAGAACTTAATAAAGGACATCACACTTCAGATCTCTCATGGACCATGGGGGTCACTATTGGTGAGGCTAGGATTCTGGTCTTCCCAGTCCTGGGCTCTGTGCGCCCCCTGCTGGAAGACTGAGTGCCTTGGGCGGTAGGAAGCCACGCTCTGAAGTGCAGTTTCAGACCTGTTTTCTAGTCACTGGCTCCCAGTACGTGAGCTGGGTATATTCTTCCCATCTTTAACCCTAATGACTCTTCTGTCATCATTGCCACCCAGAACGCCACCAGTCCCATCCTCGCCTTGCGTGAACTCTGTGAGCTTGTGCCTTAGAGGTGGAGCGTGGGTCCTGATGTGGTCATTCAGTGAGATGGCTGGTCGGATGGTGCAGTGGAGCCAGGATCCCTAGGATACGAGGACCAGGCCTCTGCTGGGGGGAGCCACCATTTTCAGGGCCTCACTATGGTTTGGGTCCTATCATAAGGGCTTTGCCAAACTATGAGTTGCACCCAGATGAAGAGATGAAGCTACAGATGCCCAAGAGGAATGCTTAGCCGAGCCTTCATTTCTGCTACTTTGCTTTGCATTCACCTGCTTAGCCTTCTTTAAAATAGGTCATTTGTAAAGTCGGAAACACTAAGGATTTAGCAGCCTTGTCTTACTGGATACCGCCATTGTCAACCCATTTACTGAAGGAAAACAGAAAAGACTTTAGAATCCCTTGCTTAGGGAAGCCAGAAGCAGCATTCCAACTTACATGTAAAGGCTGGGGGGTGAGAGAGAGGGAACTGTTTTCTCTTTAATGGCAGTTACTTTTTGTCACTTCCCGGGGATCCAGTGGGGTTTCAGTGAGCTGTTTCTGAGTGTGACTTTGACGTCCACAAAGCAGGCTAGTTTACTTTAAAAAAATAATAATAATAAATAACAGCTTTGTTGTGGTAAAATTCACTCACCACAAAATTCACTTTGGAAGTACAATTCCATGGACTTTAGAGTCACACAACTGTTGCTACTGCCTAATTGGAAAACATGTCCAACCCCCCCCCCCAACCCCTAATCTACTTTTTGACTTTATGGAAGGTGGTGATCTAATAGCACAGCAGTTAAAGCATTTGTCTGCTAACCAAAAAGTCAGTGATTGGAGCCCAGCAGCCTCTGTGGGAGAAAGACAGCATCGTCTGCTTCTGTAAAGAATTACAGCCTTGGAAACCCATTCATAGGAACAGTTCCACTCTGTTCTGTAGGATCGCTGTGAGTCACAGCTTGATGGCAGTGGGTCTGGTTTCAGTATGGATACTTCATATACATGTAATCATACAGTATGTGACCTTTTCTGTCTGGTTTCTTTGACTCAGCACGTTCTTATGGGTTAGTCCAAGTCATAGCATATAGCAATGTTTCCATTCTGTTGTATGGCGGAATAACATTCCATTTCCATTGTATGGATACACCAACAACAACGACAAAAAAAAAAACCACTTCCAACTCATGACAACCCTGTGTGTTATAGAGTAGAACTTCTCCATATAGATTTTTAGGCTATAATCTTTTTTTTTTCTGTGATTTGGGTGAAAGTTTACACAACAGATACACAACAGATTCATTTTCCATACAGCAGTTTATACACATTTTGTTTCATGATATTGACTGCAATCCCCATAATGTAATAGCTCTCTTTCCCCTTCCTCCCTGTGGTTACTTTTTTCCTGTGCCCTTCTTTCCTATGCATTCCTGCCTTCTGAGCTATTTCTCTGTGCAAATACTGCCCTTCTGATCTTCCATGGTTAATTGTTCTAAAGAGTATACCTACCTGGTGTAAATACTCCCCTCATATACCTGTCTATTGTTGGGAGTGAGTTCAGTTCCAAGCCTGAAAGGTGACTAGGGGCCATAGTCTCTGGGGTCTCACCAAGCTCTACCAGGCCAATAAGCCTTGTCTTTTTTATAATTTTGAGTTTTGTTCCATATTTTTCTCCCACTCTATCCAGGATCTCCTGCACTCATCCCATTCCAAGGGGTTGACAGTGGTAGTTGGGCTCCATCTAGTTCTGGTCTCAGGGTCATGTAGGCTGTAGTTCCCATGGTCCACCAGTCCCTTAGATGAATTGCTTCCCGGCATCTTTGGTTTTCTTCATTCTTCTTTGTCTTAGCTGTAATCTTGACAGAAGCAGATTACTGGGCCTTTCTTTCATGGCACCACTGGGTGGGTTCCAGCCACCAACCTTTAGCTTGGTAGTCAGTGCAAACTCTACTATCCAGGGACCCACACATACCACATTGTATTTATTCATCAGCTGATGGACATGAGTTGTTTCCACTGTTTGGCTACTATGAATGCTGCTGCTGCAAACATCCGTGTACAAGTTTTTTATGACCATATTTTCAATTCTCTTGTGCATATGTCTAGGAGTGAAAATACTAAACTGTTTATAACTTTTTGAAAAACTGCCCAACTTCTTTCCAAAGCAGCCGAACCATCTTCTAATTCCACCAGCACTACATAAGAGTACCAGTTTCTCCATGTCCTCATAGTACTTGTTGTCTTTTTATTTCAGTCATCCCAGTGGCTATGGAGTGCTATCTCATTGCGGTTTTGATTTCTATTTCCCTAAGGAGCTCTGGTAGCATAGTGCCTAAGGCACTTGACTGCTAACCAGAAGGCTGGCGGTTCAAACCCAT